TTCTGTAGAGTTCAAGCTTTCAGCCTTTTCGGGTTTTGTTTATATGGACCCACCCAGGGATGCTTAGGGACCACTAAGTTTGTGGCCATACCCGCTAGTGTTGGATATGCACTTCCAAGAGTGCCAGGCACCCAGGGATTCAGCACATGCTAGGCTTGTTCCCTGCCACTTGATCTATTTCCCCAGTTTTGTTAGTTCTTTTAGTTTGGCCATTATGAGAGATTGTGTTGGAGGCCAGAGAGATGGCTCAGGGAGCTGGAGTACGTGCTTTGAATTCAGAAGGCTCAGGTTTGATTCTTTGCACTGCACAAGTCCCCTAAGCACTGCCAGGAGTAATCCCTGAGTACCACAGGATGTGCGCGCGCGCGCGCGCACACACACACACACACACACACACACACACACGCTGTGTATCTAACCTTGTGCTTTTACTAGTTTACCTGAATTTTATAGCTATATTGTAAGTAGTTAGAGCAGGTTTGCTATCCCCATCTTACAGATAAAGTAACTTAGGTAAAGCGTCTTGTTTAAAGTTATTAAAGTGGGAAGTCGTCGGGATAAGACTTTTCTTAAGAACACTGTTAAATACTTCATTTGATTTTTTTTTGGTCACATCCAGGAATGCTCAGGGCCTACTCCTAGCTCTGTGCTCAGGAGTCACTCCTGAATGCTCTGGGGACCATATGTGGTACCTGGAATCAAACTGGGATTGGTCAAATCCAAGGCAAGTGCCTTAAAATCTCTGATCCTAAATCATCAGTGTATTAACATATTTTTTAAATCAACATTTTTGTAAATCATAGAAGTTACATAAACAGAGTTCAAATAACTTGGAAAGAGAAAAGTCACCAATTGTTTCTCTGCCTAACATCAGTCAGTTTAACCTGTGAGTTGTCAGAGTCAGAAGCAGGCAAATGAATGACAGTGGCATCAGGGCTCTGCGATCTGGTTTTCCAGGGCCTCAGTTTGAGAGGACTTAGTGCATAAGGGGAATCTGTAACTGCTGCTTTTGTGGCACAGAGGATCCGAGACCTACAATCAAGTAGAAGCTTTCTCTGTACTTGTACAGACTGCTGTCTCCGCGCCCTTGACCTCAGTAGCTTTTCTCTTTTCCCACCACATGCATCCCCATGTTTTCAAAAAGAATGCAACCCGCTCATGGTATGTATCTTATAGTCTTATTTTCCCAACGGCTACATGCTCCACTTCTGTGTGAGTTTTGGTAAGAAAACAGCTTAGTACATAATGCCTCAGATGTTCTGAACTTATTTTTCCATCCTCTGCCTCCCATATTGATACTTAATTCTTTCTGCACTGTGATCATTGCTAACTTGTTTTGTATTATACAGTTGATTAGATAAATGAATGGATTATTAAAATAAATGCCTTTAATTAGTTATGTACTAGACAGCTGTGAACGACTGAAGGCTATTCAGTTACTTACAGAGTAATGATCATATTAGCAGATATTTCTTGAGCATATTTATGTAGCAGACTCCACATTAAGTACATTATGTGTATCAACATCACAACCAATAAAGTGGTTACTTTTTTTTTTCCTTTTTGGTTCACACCTGGCAACGCTCGGGGGTTATTCCTGGCTTTGCACTCAGGAATTACTCCTGGCGGTGCTCGGGGGACTATATGGGATGCTGGGAATCGAACTTGGGCAGGTTGTGTGCAAGGCAAATGACTACCCACTGTACTATCGCTCCAGCCCCTAAAGAGGTTACTTTTATTAGCTTCATTTTTGGATAAAGAAACTGAGTGTAAGAGAAAAGAAGGATTTACTCGGTTCTGTGTAGCTGGATGAGGGTGAAGGAAATGAATAAAAGGATCTGACTCCATTTCATCTACTATATTAAACAAGGTTTGCTTGCAGCCAAGCTTATTAAGCAATTATAAAAAATGGAATAAAATGTATGTAATATAATACCCAATTACTAGTATACATAGGGTTGTATTTTTTTCTTTTTAAAATATAAGACTCAAAAACCCATTCTGCCATTAAATGAATATGGGCCTGCTCGAGGAAATTGAGGAACAACGGGAGGACAGTGAGAGTGATCATCAAAATAAGAAACTGGTAGAAATAGAATTTGGAGGGAAGGGCTCATTTTGGGGCCACAACTAGCATGTTCAGGACTTACTCCTGGTTCAGTGCTTGCAACTTGTTTGCCCTGGTAGTGCACAGGGGATTATGTAGTGTCAGGAGTTGAACTGAGGCTTCAGGCATGCAAACATATTGGGCTGGGGAGATGTCACAGGGGGTTAAGCACTTGCTTTCATCCTGCCCACCTTAACCCATATTGTCTCCCCAAGCACCACTGGTGGTCACCACTTCGCACAGGGCCAGGATTCACACCTAAGCACCATGAGTCCGACCCCAGAACAAAACAAAAAAATAAGAGCATGTGCATGTGCTCCAGCCCATTGAGCTATCCCTCTGGTCCCAGAGAATCTTCACTTTCCTTTTTGTACAAGATTTTGTTTGTTTTGGGGCAGAGCTTAGGGTTTTCTCCTGGCTCTGTGCTCAGGGACCACTCCTGGTGAGACTCAAGGGACCCTACGCAGTGCCAGGGATTGGACCTGGGTCTGCAGCGTGCAAGGCAAACACTGTACTGGCTGTAATATCTCTCCAGTTCCTCATTTTGGGATTTTTATGGTGGTCTCATTAGGTAGCTATGATTGATTTTGTTACTGAGTCAGTTAGTGTTACTGTATATTCTTTCTCGTCCCTGGAAGTCAGGGGTACAGATAGGCCTGAAATTTCTATGCTGTAATCAAAGGGTCAGTTACACCAGAAAGCTTCCTGCTGGCTCTGTGCTCAGGGGTCACTCCTGGGCGTGCTCAAGCGACCAAAAGTGGTGCAGGAGATTGACCTTCTGGTCTGCCATATGCAAGGCAAGCGTCCAGTTGCTTGTACTACCAGTCTGAACCCCATGAGTAGATGATTTTTTTTTTTTAGTTGAGATCTGACTAGCAAGAAGGAAATCAGGGTGAGTCCAGGTAACTCCATAAACCCTGAGTGGATGACAGATAACTGAGGCGAAATTTTGTTTACATGCTTGAAGAATGAATGAATTTGGGCAGTTTGATGATTCTGAAGTTCAACATTAAATACTTCAAAATAAGTCACCATAAGTCAAACTGCTCATTTATTTACTAAAATATTTTCTTAAAAAGTGTTACGATCGGGGCTGGAGTGATAGCACAGTGGGTAGGACGTTTGCCTTGCACACAGCCGACCTGGGTTCGATTCCCAACATCTCATGTGGTTCCCTGAGTACTGCCAGGAGTAATTCCTGAGTGCAGAGCCAGGAGTAATCCCTGAGCATCGCTGCATGTGACCCAAAAAGCCAAAAAAAAAAAAGTGTTAGTTTTTTTTTTAAATTTTTATTAGTGAAACACCATGAGGTACAATTGTAGACTTACAAATTTTTGTGCTTGGGTTTCAGTTATACAATGACCAAGTACCCATCCCTCTACCATTGCCCATTTTCCACCACCACGGGTCCCAGTATCCCTCCCACCCCACATCCCTCCAGTTTTTTTTTTTTTACAGATGGCTCTTGTTCTAAAGAATTTTTTTTTCTGGTGAGGGAACATGTGGAATATTGGGGGTCAAACCTGGGTTGGCTGCATGCAAAGCAAGTGCCCTACCTGCTATCTCTGAGGCCCCAAGAATATATTTATATCAATCATAATAAGCAGATGATTTTTCAAAAACACTGAGCAATCACTCCCACATATATAAAAATAAATACAAATTACAGAGTTTATTCAAGTCATTAATTAATGAGGAAGCTTTGCAGATGCTATAGTAAAGTCAGTCAGTGGAAAAATCAAAAACAGCACAAATTTGTATGATGTGAAAGATGGTTGAAGTGAATGTGAAAATGCAGCAAAATTAGCATTTTCTATAGTGTTGGAGGAAAGTCATCTGAGCCTATTGGTCAGAGGGAATTTATACGTCTAAAGCAATAACATTCACCTAGCCATCAGTTACTACACTTCATAGAGCTGTATGGCGGTTCCCATAGAATCAAAAATAAGTAACCCCGAGGGGTCTCTTCTAGAGCCTACCAGTCTTTCCCATAGTGGATGATACTCCCTCTGGGGTACACCCGATCTCTTTAGGGGCAGGGTAGTACTATCCTCAGGTGCAAGATAAGACTCAGTTTCTGTTTATTTGCTTAAAGAAGATGAATTACCAGGGGGACACTGTAATTTTATCTGAAAAGAGGGTGGTAGGCCAAGTCAGTTGGGAATTGCTGGTCTCAAGGAGGCTTCTTACTTTTTCCATTTTTTTGACTGAGGAAGTTATATGTGACCCTGGTTATATAAAAGAGGTGTATAAATAGACATTTGCCAATTATAAATCACAAAATTGATTTTAAAACATTTTTGTGACTCCTGCATTCAGATCTACAACCGCCATATAGAGTCGCAATCCACTTTAAGAAGCTAGGGTCTAGATAATACATAATTTTATACTCAAGTACCTTAATTCCAAATTAAAACTAATTAGATTCTACATAACTTCAACCCTCTCTTCAATAAATATTACTACACTTGTGATTTTAGGGTTGATGGGGGGGGGAAACTCTATAATACTATAGGCTTCTAGTTTCAATTAATATAATTAACAATTATAGTCATCGATTATAGTCATATAACAATGCTTGGACCATTGTTTAGTAATTAATTTTGTCCACACAATGGCCCCATTAAGTTAGTGTGCCTGTAGCATATGTACAGATAATAAAATCAAGTTTAATGTTTGAAGACAACAGCAATTAAATGGCAGAGTTAGAATTGAGCCTTCTCTTTCTCCAAAGCACATGCGCGCACGCGCGCGCGCACACACACACACACACATGCACACATATGCACACAATCACACTCCTACACATAATGTCACTTTCCCTGGAACAATTTGCTAATGGTAAAGACTATAGAAATTTAAAATTTCTTTTTGTTTTTCCTCCATTCTTTAGGTCATCATCATCATCAAGTAAGTTGGATCTCAAGAGTGGGCTAGAAGAATGTTCAGTGGCATTGAACTTATTTCTAAATAACAGATTTACAGATGCCTTGGAATTGCTTCGGCCATGGTAATTAAATTTGTTTGTTTGTTTTTCATTTATGAGCCACACCTAGCTGTGTTCAGGGTTTACTCCCGGTTCTGTGCCCAGTGCTGTGCCCTTTCCTGGCAGTACCCTGTACTATTGCTCTAGCCTTTTTTTCAATTAAATTTTTTTTCATATGGATCTTTGTTTCATGTTGTAGAAGAAATTTTTTCCACCTTCTCGGTATTTGCATGGCTTGCTAACTGACATAAATCAGATTAATAGTAGAAAAGCCAATTAATTTTATATGTAAGAAGCCTGCAAAATAGGAAACCCCAAAAAATGACCAAGTCACTTTTGGTTAAAGAAGCAATATATTTTGGAAGAATTGACCAAAAATATTTAGCCTGGGCCCAATAAGTATAATATTAAGAAGCAACAAGTTTATTTCAGCAGTCTTTCAGGTCTAAATTCCTTCTCTGGTAAGTAGACTCTCTTTTTATCTCCTGGTACAGGAAAAATACCTTTCACACAAGAAATTGACTTCTTGTTTCAAAGTTGGGGGTGGAAGTGGGATAGAGGAAGGTCGGACTGTTGTTCTTACAGTAGCTGTTTCTCATGTCACTTTAATGAAAAAGAATTAGTATGCCAGAATGACACACGTTGGGTAACAAATTTTCTTCTCTTTCAGTATTATTCATGTCAGTTTATTTGACTTTCTACCAGGGTATTTCCAAGCTATTTTGTTCGAGACTGCTTATTATTGGCCATTTTAATATTCAGTTAACGAATCTGACTTTGCAAATTTAATACATAGAATATTTCTAATGCTCTCACATATTTTACTTTCTTATCTAAATATTAGAATGTTGTTTTTTATACTTTGTTGTATTTCAGCGAAATATTTTTTGGCCAGAGTGATAGTACAGCAGTTAGGGTGCTGCGTGCCTTGCACGTAGCCAACTGGGATTCCATCCATGGCACCCCACATGGTCTTCCTAGCCCTTCTAAGAGTGATCCCTGAGCACAGAGCCAGGAATAAGCCCAGAGCACCACCCAATAAACCAAAAAAAAAAATTTTTTTTTCCTGTATATTCCTCCCAAGCTTAAACATCATTGGATTTTTTTTTTTTTGTAAAATGGGGGAAGGATAGAAGTAGAATATGCCAACCTCAGGTGCTAAAAAGCTTAATATTGTAAAAATATTAATGGTACTCCCTATTTATATGTTAAACAGAAACTAAGTTAATGCTATTTAATTTCAGCCATAAGTAGTACCTGTTGATTTTTTAAAATACCAATACAAATATGTTTTTGTTTTTTATATTAGGACTTGCTTAGACACAGTCCCGAACCCTTCAGTGTTACTATATAGATTAAGAGGAATAATCTTTAATTGTAACTTCCAACACAAGCACTTACTCAGATGAAATTTTGAGTTTATATAATAGTTTTCTTTGACTCTGAGCGATAGCACAGCAGTTAAGGCATATTTGCCTTGCATGCAGCCAACCTGGGTTTGATTCCCAGCATCCTATATGGTCCCTTGAGCACTGCCAGGAGTAATTCCTGAGTGCAGAGCCAGGAGTAACCCCTGAGCATTGCTGGGTATGACCCAAAAAGCAAAAAATACAAATAAATAAAGAGCCAGTAGACAAAATAAAAAAAATAAATCATTTTCTTTGACACTGCTCATTGACTTTGAATCTTTGAAAACATTTTCCATGCCTAGGGAAGTAGCACAGAGGTAAATTTACTGGTAAGGAGCTGCTGGACAATTCTATTAATATAGAGAAGAGCTACGATCAGTTACAGACGGCAAGCAGGGGGTTCTGAACCATGCCTGAGGAAATGAACCAGCGTTGTCTCCAGCACTGAGCCAGTTTCTGCCTTGCCTGTCTCAGGCTCTTTTACTTTCTGATCTCCCTGATTCTGTCTTCCCATGGCGTATCACTGCCTTCCTGTCTTCCCCTGCCTCTTTTTCCTTCCCTCTCAGCATGCTTACGTGACTCCCTTGTTCTTATTTTCAAAAACTCCCTGCTCCACCTCTGTCACTGACTCCTTAACTAATCCTAAAATGGAATAAAAAGAAAATTATTTAGTATTATATTTGGACAAGACTTTTGTTTTGTTTTGTTTTGGGCTCACATGGGCAGTTCTTAGGGGTTAACTCCTGGCTCTGCACTCAGGAATCACTCCTGGAGGGCTTGAATGGACTGGGATCCCTAGGATGCCAGGGATTGAACCTGTGTTGGCCATGTGCAAAGAAAGCACCCTACCCTCTGTACTACTGCCCCAACGCCATGGTCAAGACTTATATTGGCTATCTTTTGTGAATTTATTTTATTGTTAAAGTTCTTCCCTTATTGGAACGTTTTTTCTTCTTGGAGGAATTTTTAGCTTACAATGTGAGTTTTATTTATTTATTCTTTTATTTTTGGTGTCCATTAGCAAGCCCATTAGCAAACTCATGCAAAGCCTTTGTTCTATTGCTAAGCCATATCCCAGCAAAGTGTAGGTTCAAAAATAGTAGTGGGGAAGGAGAGGGTAGGAGAGGAGTTAAGGCACTTGTCTTGCCTTGAATCCTGCTGACCTATTTTAATCCTCAATACTACGGAGCCAGGAATAGCCCCTAAATGAGGGGTAATCTATGCCCCCAAATCCTCCACTATTGTGGGCCAGGTAGGAGTTATAGGGGTTAAGTGGCTTGCCTCATACACACTTGACCTTGATTTGATCTCTGGTACCATACTGCTCCTTACTATGGAAACATACTGTCTCCTGAGCACCAAGTAATTGCTGAGCACAGAGCCAGGAGCCTCTGAATACTGGATGTGACCCCAATACTGAATACCAGATGGAGCTCTAATCCCCATGCCTAAAATAAAATAAAGTAAAACCATTTCTGTAAATCATGGTGCCTGAATAATTGCTGGTTAAAACTAGGCTGCTCATGTTGTTTGCAGTTCCTTTGAGTCAGTGCCCTCCCTGTTTGGGACAGACTGCGAATTGCCAAAGGATGATCAAGCTATCATGGGAGAAATAATTTTTGGCTGCATTTGTTTTGCATAGGAGCAGGCTGTTCTGTATTGCACTTGAATTGAAAACAAAATGGCACATTGATATTTTTAGTCTTTTTGTAAAATTTGCATAACTGATGGAGTTGTATTGTTTGTTTTTGAGAAAAGAGGTGGTGAAGTTTTTATAGCCAGAGAATTTGGGGGCGTCTGTCATACTTTAAGTCAAATTGTCTTTAAAAATAGAAGTAATTGTCACATTACTTGATTATTTGAATTTTCAAACTTTAACTGGGAATCTCAGATAATGGAACTAGATTGCTCAGGAAATCTAAAATGTGCTTCTGTTAGGGGCCTTTGTTGCATGCCTAAATTTATTGCAAAAAATCTTGTTTCCTTTTGGTTCCTGGGTAGCAGCAAGGAAGGGGATAATTTTAAATGAGCTTTCATCTTTAAAAAAAAAATAAAACCTCGCATATGCTAGGGGAAAAGGCAGCTCAGATAGAGAAGGGAGCACCAAATAAAGAGTGTTGGGAAGATCCTCCCAGGATGGGAGATGTATGCTGAAAGTAGACTATAGACTGAACATGATTGCCACTCAATGTCTGTCTTGCAAAACACAGTACCCAAAAGAAGATAGAGAGAACAAGGGGGAATGCCCTGCCACAGAGGCGGGGTGGAATGGGGGGATGAGGGGCTTGGAGGGATACTTGGATCATTGGAGATGGAGAATGGGCACTGGTGGAGGGATGGGTACTTGATCATTGTATAACTGAAACCCAAGCACAAAAATTTGTAAGTCTACAACTAACTATACCTCATGGTGTTTCACTAATAAAAATTAAAAAAAAAATAAAAATGGGGAAATTGGAAAAAAATAAAATAAATAAAAGAGAGAGAGAGAGAAAAAATAGAACCTCTGCCACAAAATACACTTCTGGTGGCTTTAATTTTAGCATTTATTATAGAGTTAAAGATAGCACACTGTTCTTTTGTTCAGCTGGGAAAAAAAATGGATTTGCTTTGAAATGTTTCCTCAGAAATGAATCCTCAGGCTGCCCCCTTGTGCTAAGACAGAGAAAAGCTTATTTTCCTCTGCTTAAACCAGGAACATTTGGTGATGCCTATGTGGATTTACACTGCAAAGTCCTTGATACTGAGGTTTGAAAGACGTGTCTTTCAGTGAAGATGATGACTGTGGTGAAGAACTAAAGATTATGACTGTGAAAGTTACAGCATGTACTCATTGGAATTTATTGTAAACTCATGGCAAATAAGATTTGAATGCTTTTCAGATGAATTGGACTCTACTAATTTGATTCCCTGTGTTTTTGCAGGGCTAAGGAAAGTATGTACCATGCCTTGGGCTATAGTACCATTGTGGTGTTGCAGGCCATCATGACCTTCGAGCAACAGGACATCCAGAATGGCATCTCTGCCATGAGGGACGCCTTACAAACCTGCCAAAAGTATGAACCACATCCTTGCATACTTGAGATTTGATCACAGACAGACCGATTAGAGTTTGTCCTACTGAAAGTGCTGTGTTTGAACCTGGTCAAAGTTTCAAACACATCCAAGTGTCATGGCTCCTTTTAATTTTATGTAATAGAGTTAAAATCTGCCTCTTAAAGTTGCATATTTGTTCAGCGGACCACTTAGCCTCTGTACTTTTCACTTCTCTCCTAGGTAGCTTGAGCTACAGAGAAAGACAAAGGGAGATTTCAGTGGGGTTAGCAAACAATTTTAAAGGTTTCCCTGGAGTTAAAAATAGCAGGTCGTACCTGCTAAGCCAGAGCAAGAGAGAAGGAACCTTTTATGTGAGCAATATAGCAAATTCATAAGGGAGTGTTCTATTTGGCTAAAGTGAATGCAGTTGGTGAAAACGATATGAAACGTAGTTATCTAGCATTGGAGAATTTTTAACATTTGTGAAATTGTGTCTTCATATAATTTAGCTGGAAGCCTCACAAATGAGTTTCCAAATACTGCACTCCAAATCCATCCTTTAATCTGTACCATTAAGAATTAATCCATTCTTATCATAGAATGGATTACTTTTTATAAGAATGGATTACTTTTTATCACAGAAATACTGATTTTTAGCCAGAGATTAGGGAAGGCGCTTAGCAGGGTTAGTGTCTACTGTTTTGTGTAGGTCTGCCAACACATGTGACTGGTGAGCATGGACTAAGTGCCCGCTGGATGCTGCTTTAATGCTGGGAGTTGAGTTGCAGAGGGTCTGCAGTGTTGGGAAGAGTCATGCCCTTTAGACTTCAGAGTTTGATTACACCTTTGTAACTTTTTATTGTGATGGAAATGGGTGTCACATGAAAATGAGCCCAACCTAATTTATTGTTACTCTTCTTTTTGTTTCCTACTTCTCCTTCCACTTATTCAGATACAGGAAAAAATGTTCAGTTGTTGAAACTTTCTCAAGTTTTCTTTCCAGAGGTTCATTTGAACAGCTCACTGAAGGTAAGAGTCATGTACAGGATGATTTACTCCCCTTTCTTTGAAAACCTAAAATCATCATGCTTATAAAATTAAAACTTGAGTGTGATATAAAGTAAATGGAATGCCTTTTTTCTCCCCCATCATACGGTCTATTAATCATTATCAATTATTGGCTTAAAGTTGAAGCCTTGTAGACTTCTGTGTACATATAAAAGCATAGATAGATAGATAGATAGATACATAGATAGATAGATACATAGATAGATAGACAGACAGACAGACAGATAGGGTCAGAGATAGTACAGTGTATTAGGCTGTTGCCATGCACATATCCAACATGGATTTGATCTCTGATACCGCATATGGTCCCCTGAGCACTGTCAGGAGTGATCCCTGAGCACAGAGCTAGGTGGAAGCCCTGAGCAGTGTCAGGTATGGCCATAAAACCAGATCTGTTGTTTTTTGCTTTTGGAGCCCAAACCTTGCACACACACACACACACACACACACACACACACACACACACACAAACACGTGTATACATATACATACGTATGTGTGTGTATTACATATAGAATTTTTGTAGTTATTCCCATATTTATTTTTTGCATGCATAGAATTATGGTGCATATTGTTCTGCAGTATAATTTTCCCCAAGTCAGTAAGTATAAATTGTCCTTCATTATGTTTGATAACTATGTAACAGGGTAGCGTACCATAAATTATTTGCTTATTCTCTATTGAAAACACTTACGTTGTTTTGATTTCTTCACTATTACAAATAATGAAGCCTTAAAAAATACTTTTGTACTTTTTATGCACTTCTGTATTTCATAGAATGGAGTTTGAAAAGTATAGTCAGTGGGTCTAATGATTTGAGAATGGAGTCTATAAGATACTATTCTCCCCACTCCAGGAGGTCAGTTTACATCACTTTTGCCAGGAGATTAGTATTATTAACTGTTTATAGACTTTGGAGGGTCTGAGAGATCATCTATGATGTGAAGCAACAGTGTTGATTATAGGAGAAAATTAGGGAGATTGTTCCTAACGGGTATGATGTTGGCCCTATTACTATTGTTAAACAGAATGGCATTTCTAGACCACTGAAGTCCACTTTTTTTCTATAGACACTGACCTCCAAGAACTTAGAAGAATTTATTTATCCCCTTGCTTTTGTATAGGGAGAAGGTAAGCATTTCACAACTGAGGAACATAAAATGAACATACACGACATGTTCAGAAAATGGGTCAGAGGCACAGAGAGATCATATAGACATTCAGGCATGTGGCTAACCCTGGTTCAATCTGTGGTTCTCATATGATCTTCCAAGTAAATTGCCAGGAATGACCCTTGAGCTAGAACCAGAAGTAACCCCTGAGTATAGCCAGTCTGACCCAAAAATCCTCCAAGAACTGAGATAGTAAGGGGTTAAGGCATTTACCTTGCATGTGGTCAACCCCAGTTCTATCCCAGGCACCCACATATGGTCTTTTGAGCATTGCTAGGAGTTATCACTGAGCACACCAGGTGTGGCCCCTAAATCCCAGAAATCTATCTTACCCCTTCAAAAAAAAATAAAAGCAAAACAGAAAATGGTGTAGTACATCCTCAGGGGTGTTTTCAGTATAGAGATAAAGAGGGAGGTGAATGAAAGCTGAGAAGGGCTCCACTGTGCAGTCTCCACTGGCTGGTACTGTTTAGCAAGGAGCCTGGCATCCTACCAATGCAGAAGGATCTGAAAGTTCTGTCTCAGTCCAGTCAGAGCCGAGAGAATAGCTCTGGACATGACAGCTTCTCCCAGAGAAAGGTTGCCACGTCATTCAAACTAGAAGCTTCAGGCCAGTCTATTTTAACGTTTCCTAACTCCGGAGATTCCTGTTTTGGGGGGTGAAAAAAGAGGGGCAAAGGTGGATAAACAGAAGTAACCACAAATCATAATTGAAAAATGACAGTGATGGCTTTATTCCCACTCTGGAGAAGCCGTTGTTCTCTTGAGCAAGTGTCACTCTTTCTTTCCCATCACACTTTTCTAAACCAGTGTGTTTAAATGTCACTATTTCACTTCACTTTAAAAAGATGACGATGTTGGGGCTGGAAAGATTGCAAAATAGTACAAACTGGTACACTTGCCTTGCACTCAGTCAACCCAAGTTTGATCCTAGGCGCTGAATATGTTCAACTTCACTACTGATCCCTGAGCACTGAGACAGGAGTAAGCTCTGAGCATACCTGGACATGGTTCAACCTCTCCATATTGAACATCTCCATATGCTCCCCAAATGACAGTCATAATGTTTTATTTTTAAAAAACTGATATGTGTTAGACACCATTTTATTAATAGTGTTTTATTTTGTTTGTTTTTTGCACAATACCTGCAAGTGCTCCATGGCTACTTCCTGTTTGGTGCTGGGTGGTGGTGGTGGTGGGCAAAGGTTTTTGCTTGGTCCAGGATGCTGGGGGACCCTATGGTGCTAAAGATTGAATCCGCGGCTCCTGCATGCAGAGCATGTGTTTAAGCCCTTTATGCCACTTCCTCTTTTTTTTTTTAATTATCTAATCTAATCCAGCCATTGTAATTTCCTCTTTTTAAACTAATAATTGATGTTCAGAGATCTTTAACAATGATTTGAGATTATCTGCTTAGCATTGCAGGATTCAAACCTTATCTTCATTTCTCTAACACTTAGTCTTTTCCATTTGCCTGTGTTTCTCGTGGGCAGATAGAAAAGGGTACAGTATGTATCATAAATGGCTGAGAAAAAGTTTGAATGATTCCTTTGTCATCGATTTGCTCGAGCGGGCCCAGTAACGTCTCCATTTTGAGACTTCTTGTTACTGTGTTTGGCATATTGAATATGCCACAGGTAACTTGCCAGGCTTTGCCGTGTGGGCGAGATACTCTCGGTAGCTTGCTGGGCTCTCCGAGAGGGGTGGCGGAATCGAATGCAGCTTGGCCGGGCTGGCTGCACGCAAGGCAAATGCCCTACTGCTGTGCTATTGCTCCAGCCCACTCCTTTGTCACATGTCTTGAAAATAGATGGTATAATGTTCTCATCTTTCTATGACATCTGTGGACATGGAACTTTAGAAAATCTTTTTTTTTTTAAATGTAGTGGCTGCTATTTATTCACCCACTGATTAGCTGATTGAATTGGGCATGAACTCCACCTTACTTTTTTTTTTTCATTTTTAATACTTTTATTTATTGAATCACCATGAGAGCAGTTACAAAGCTTTCGGTTTAAGTCTCAATCATACAATGAAACACCTATACCTTCACCAGTGCCCATTCTCTACCCCAAGAAACCCCAGTATGACCCCATCCCACACGCTCCCCCTACCTATGGGGCAGATGATTTCCATATTACTCTCTCTCTACTTTGATTACATTCAATATTTTGACGCCAAACCCACCATTATTATTTGGAATTTTACCCCAACACTCAGATCTGCTGAAAGGGCAACAGTAGACAATTTGTTTTCGGTCGCTGGTTATGAATAACATATGATGTTGCGTGGCTGCAGTAGTGGTCGCACAATTTTGAAATTCCGAAAATTTAACAATTAAATCTGGAGGGACTTCTGACAAAACCTGCTCGGTTCCGAGATTTGTTCCTGAGTCTCTTGGATCGTGGCCGTTAAGCAGCTTGACCAGGAGCCAGAGAGGCCTTTTGTGGGCGGCAACTTGGGGTCTCGTTGGGACGGGGAGGACAGGACTGGCTCCACCCCCATCCCGTGAGACCCTGCGTGTCTTGTCACTGCAGGCCCAAACCTGACTGTCCAGTGGCCTCTGGAGGATGGCGGCCACCAGGTTGCCAGGGGGAACAGGCCAAGGCACAAAACCTATTCCCACCTGGGTTGGCCCAGCACCTGTAACCTACTGCAGCAAATGGACACATTTCTGCCAAAAGTCTCTGGGTTCCCCAATTTGTTTCTGAGTCTCTGGGATCATGGCTGTTGAACAGCTTGATCAGGAGCCAGAGAGGCCATTCGTGGGCGGCAACTCAGGGTCTCGTTGGGGTGGGGGGAAAGGGCCAGCTCCACACCCATCCGGTGAGGCCCTGCGTGTCTCATCACCGCGGGCCCAAATATGACTATCCAATGACCTCTGGTGGATGGTGGCCACCGAGCTGCCAAGGGGCAGCAGGCAGAGGGACAGCACCCTTTTCCCCTGGGGTGACCCGGCGGCAGTAACCTACTGCGCGGTCCAGATGCATTTCTGCCAAAAGCTGCTGGGTTTCCAGATTTGTTTCTGAGACTCTGGGATCATGGCCGTTAAGCAGCTTGATCAGGAGCCAGAGAGGCCGTTTGTGGGCGGCAACTTGAGTCTCGTTGGGATGGGGAGGAAATGGCCGGCTCCATCCGCATCTTGTTGGCCCCACGTGTCTCGTCACTGTGGGCCCAAACCTGACTGTCCAGTGGCCTCTGGAGGATGGCGTCCACCGGGCCGCCAGGGGGAACAGGCCAAGGCACAAAACCAATTCCCACCTGCGGTGGCCCAGCGCCTGTAACCTACTGCAGGGACTGGACGCATTTCTGCCAAAAACTATTGGGTTTTGAGATTTGTTTCTGAGTCTCTGGGATCATGGCCGTTAAGTAATTTGATCAGGAACCGGAGAGGCCATGCCTCCAATTATATAGCTGAGCCTGAGGTGGTTTGTGGGTGTGTCTCCCACATACCTTTTGGCCATTTACTTTCTTGGTAAACTTTGCCCCAAGTTTTAGGGGTATGGCCAAAGGCACAGCAGTAATTTTGGGGTATCTGGAAGTCTGAAGGTGCCATCAGGTTGCTGATGCACTAGCCTCACAGGTACAGATTGACCCAGCACCATACCCCTGGACACTTTAGAAAATCTTAAATGAAGTAGAAGGTTATTTATTTCGCTACTCATAAAAACAAAGGTGTGGTGCTATTACATATCCACTAGAACATTCAGGACCAGAGAGGACGGGGGTAAGTCACTTGCCTTATATGCAGCTGACACTGACTCCGTCCTCTGTACCTTATTGGATACG